GGGGGGGGGGGGGGGGCAACCGCGGAAATCTCGTGACGGAGGGATATGGTCGCGCGAAACACGAGCGTCGAAAGGGGTGGGGTGCGGTGGTAGAAAACCGCGAGAAAGAACGAGAGACTGGACGCCGTCGGAATACGGAGAAACGGAACAATGGAATTTTTAATCGTAGACCACGGATTTTTTCGCAAAACAAGAAAAAAACATAACACACACACAATATGTATTTCGACAACCAGACGGAAGCGCAGGGTAACTAACACATCAGGGATAGCCACAGACAAATCTACGATAGATAAAGAGATGAAATGCTACATATTAAACTTCTAAAAGTGTAATGGTAAAGAGAGAGAGAGAGAAAGAGAGGTAAAAAAAGTAACGTAAAGCTATAATACATTTACGATGATTATTTCGTTAAAGAACTTCGAGAAAATGATAAAAAAAAGAGCGAGGGAGGGACGATATAGAGAAGTAACAATGAGAGGCGGTGAGGAGACGGCGGGAGGATTCAAATGTGGGGTTAATTTCGTTATTGTCACATACCTTGCTACAACCTAGCGGGAAGGCGAGATTTAAAATATATTATTAAAGAGAGAAAACGAGGGGAAATAACTTAAGTAGAATGTAATGATATATTATATATATATATATATATACACATATATATATATATGTATATATATATACAAAAATATATATACACAGGGTGTTTCAAAAGAGTTTATAACTGCTTCGACGGGTTATATCGTGCCGTTTAGCCTCGTGGTATTTATACTGGAACGTTTCTATCATATCATATCTCAACGCGTTATTTATTTTTTATTATTCGTTTAATCCCTACGATGTATCGATATGACAATAGCTCTCTCGGGTCTAGCTTGAACGATTATTTGGTATTTTCTTCTTCCTTCGTATTGCGTTTATCGTTTCTCTCTTGCAGGTTACGTGCTTGTTGAGCGTGTCGTTAGAGTGTTTTTTTTTTTCTTTACGTTAACCACAGAAATTTCGTTCTTGACGATTCTCGGTTCAGAGTAACGTGTTTCGGTTCATCAACATGGGGTTGGGGAGGGGTGGGGGGTGGGGGGAGACACTCGATGCGGTACGACCACGTCGAATATGGTTCTAAGAATTTTTGTTATCCACCCTGCTAACGAGAAGAAGCGCGAGGTTATTTTGTGGCGCGCTTGCGAGAAATCGAGAGACAAGCACAAAGAGAAGGAAACTTGTACTTACAATTAGTGTGTTTGCGTGTCGAGCAAAGCTAAACCGGGAGCAGAGAGATCACAAAACGCAGCGCGCGAACGTGAAAGAAAGAGGGAGCCACGGAGGGTGACGATTTCTCTTCGGAAAAATGTTTGTATTTGTATGTAACGATAGGCGTGTGCGGATAGAATTAATGATCGTAACACGAATGAGTGCGGGAGTGACTGCCAGAAAGAGACTACGTAAATAGGTATATAATGTGATAGGCACCATGTGCAGACTTCAGTATTATTTTGCAGTTAACAATGGGGGAAATACAAGAAACGATCGGTACGTTAGTTAGGTACTCTTTTTAACGAAAAAAAAAAAAGGAACGTAAAGACACAAGAACACTATACGATTGTTTCGTTGTTCGTCGTGAGAGCCCTTGGGAGAGAACGGGACGGATTCCCCCCCCCCCCCCCTGTCCCTGATCGCGACACATTCGAAACGTGTGCCGGGACCCCTCGAGTATCAGGGCATGATCCAGGGAACGATCTCTCGAAGGGGGACGAGAAAAATCGACAGAGAATGATCGTGAAAATCGAAAGATTACACGGAGAATAATCGAACGACAGCTAGAGCACGATTGCGTGAAAGATACACACGTACACACACAATATTACAATACACGAGTACACGATGCTCGAATGATTTTTCCATCATACACAATCGTAGGTCCACTTGAATCTGAACCGAGAAAATTTTACCGATAATTCTGTGTATTATATGGACGCTGAATCATCGACGTATCATTTGAATGTCTCTCACTCTCTGTAAATACGTGATGTCGATCGAACTCGAATGTCGATGAATCAGTGTCGATGATGGTGAGTTACACTATTGGCAAAACGTTTCACGGCGTATCAAAGTGGGCCCCCACAGGTTTCCAGACCAGCGGGGCCGGATGAATCATTGGAGCCCCGTGTGCTCGCGCGCGGGGGAAACGGTGTCATTGTCGCGTGTTGGGGTTGGGGATGAGAGGGGTTGTAGATAGAGACGAAAAGAAACGGGAGAAACCGAGGGGAGAGGGGGCGTATCGATTGGTTATTCTTTATTACTACGAGACGTACGCATAATTACCGCGTGTAGTACAAGTTAGTTGAAGTTTTAAACGGGGCGCGAAACCGGTTAATAAGGGTTGCCCGATAATAATTATTGATTCGTTGTTAGAGATCTTGGATGTGCATACGCGAGAGACTCGAGATTAGGGGGGAGGGATGGGAATTATAGGGTGGAAAGGTTGTATTCGAAACGGGTGAGAAGCACAAATTCCAATCAGACGTTATGATTGTCGTTGTTACACGCATCCACCGACACAGTTACTAATTTTTTACGTGGGTCGCTAATTATTAGTATCGCTATACTATTATTACTATCATTAATCGTATCATTCCTTACGTTTACGGCTCGATAACGACATTATTAACGCATATTGATTATTGATTAATATTTACGGAATTAGTTTAACGGATCGATCCAGTTGCGAGCGATATACTCGCGACGCTGTTTATAACGGTCACATCCTGACGAGGTTGTGATCGCGACATATCATTAGATCTATCGCGTGGTGCTCGTTGATTTTTTTTTTTTTAGTGGATTTTTTCCCTTCCGTCGTTAAGTTGCGTTTTTACCATGGGGCCCCGTCAGAGCGAAATGATGGCCTGGGTGTGACCGGGAAACTCATTCTATTCGATCGCGTGAAACTTCATCGATTATGTACAGGTACGAATGGCCCCGCCGTTAATGGCCTCGTATTGTTAGCTTCAAGGGTTAATCGGAATGTATTTGAAATAATACACGATTACATGTCCTTCATTTAACAGTGAATTTCTGTTAATGCTTATTAACACTAGAACTACCGTATATAAATGTGTTTCTATTTCTATCGCATTGGTAAAAGGGACAACTTATTGAAAATATGCAAATCGATAAATTAACGAACTTCTTCACTTGTATATTACAATAAGAGTTGTGTAGAATCACAAGAAATGCAGTGATATGACATTTTAATAATTTTTATAAGAGTTTACGAACCAGTCATTTTGACTGCTTTGGTAGTTCTAGTGTTAATATGCTGCGGCATAGGAAGTATGTTATCGAATGCCCAGCTACGAAATTCCGAAAAAACGTCATTTCGCTCGGGGCGCGCGAGAGGGGGGTGGGGGTGTAATTTTTCGTTTTACCGCGAATACTCTTGCACGCAACGTTGTCCGTTGTTTCTTTAATTCGTTAATGATTAACTAGGGGATTAATCGTCATTTACTATTGTTATCGACGACGCTAATTATCGTGATCGTTTACGTTCAGAATATCGCGATCGTTGTCATTATCGCGAATCACGTCGCGCACCGCCTCCGAATTCATAGTTTTCTACCGTAACGCCGCCGTATTTGCAAATACACTGTCTACAACTAATTAATACTACCG